ACTGGCCTTAGAACCTTACTCGACCAACTTGGCCATTAGGAAGTAGTGAGATAGCCGGTTTCAGTGTAAAGCTGAAAATTGATTGATACTCGATGCTACACTCATTGAGACTTGACTCCTGAGTTTTGCTTGGTTGTGAGTCAATCACCTATCGAACAAACTTGTGGGAAAGGTCAGTGATATTGAGATCCCTTAGAACCCGATTACTATTAACTAGGACAGGTTGAGCCAACTAAACTTCAAGAGGGTACTTACCTACAAACTTCATGCAAGCCTAAACCTAAGGATTTGTCTGCTTTGTATGTATATGTTTATTTGCATATAAACTTGCTTACTTTGCATACTTGTACATAACATCATAACATCATATCATAACATTTTCAATAACCATTTCAAGGAACTCGAGGGCCTTTGATGCAGGGTTACATTGAACCAGATGTCTATCAAGGAGCAAGAGGATTTATTTTCCTTTAACCAAACGCCGTCAAGGATCAAGTACAACAAACTTGAGTCAAGGGCTACAACCCACTCGACATGGTGAGCTTAATTCTCATGGAAGGATATCCACTGATACAAAGTTCTTCAATTAAAACTGTAAGTGACTACTCACCCCGCGAGATCCTTGAAAACATGCATCCACATATCATGCATCATATCATGATAGGTTTCAACCATACAAGTCTCCTTATCTTCCTGCTGTTTATTTCAGTAAGATGGATATGGAACAAACGGTGAAATATCTCCAAGCTCAACACGCTCAATTCCAACAAATGTTCTTGGCCATGGCTAAGGGGAAAGAGGACCTGAAGACTCTCCTTCTCAAAGACAAGAAGAAGAAGCCTAAGAAGTCAGTAGGCGTCCTGAACTTGGGAAGAAGACTTAGAGGACCAGTCAAGGGAGCTCTAGATCTTCCAACTCCATCCAACATGGGGGATAGTCATGAAGAAGACAACAGTCTGGAGATTGATGAAGTCGAAGCCAACTATTCTGAGGAACAATATCCTCCCACTGATGACAAGTACAAACATTTGGAGGATCACCTCAGTGCTATGGAGAGTCAGTAGATACCTAGCAGTAGATACCTAGCTTGGATTTAGGAGACATGGATTTGGTTTCTGGAGTGGTCATCCCGCCAAAGTTCAAAATCCCTACCTTTGCCCTGTATGATGGAGTCTCTTGCCCTAAGATGCACTTAAAATCTTATGCCCGCAAGATTCAACCATACACAGCTGATCCGAAGTCGTGGATCCATTTCTTCCAAGAGAGCCTGGTAGGGACTTAACTTGAATAGTTTTATCAATTGAAGAGTTCTCGCATCCACACCTGGGAGGATTTAGCCGCTGCTTTCTACAAGTAGTACCAGTACAACTCTGATCTTACACCAACCCGTTTGTGACACGGGCCTGACGAGGAAGTCCTATCTTTGAAGTCGCGAACAAATTCCAAGAACATCTTGGAGAGTTTCTTCTTCGACAGCTTCAAAGAAACCCAACCATGTTTTCCCTCCACGGTTTGTCGTTGAAGTCATAAGCATCTAAAGAAAAGGGGAATCGTGGCGTCGACCTGAAGGTATCGACACACTATCTCAAATGCCATAACGAAGGCCATTGCATTCGGGTGCAACTGAGAGGGCGCCAACCATAAATGCCTGAAGACTGGATCTGGAACACACTGAAGGGCAGCTACAACCCCAGTTCTTTGAAGATGAATTCATACATTGGGATTTGGTTGTTCTTGTAGAACGAGCATATACTTTTGCTCGCGAAAGGTTTAACGAATTTCCAATGTTTCTCAGCATCGGAATCATCGGGCATGTCCTCGATGATGACAAATGCATCGTTCAAAGACGCGAGATAGAGAGAGGCGATGCCCCGGGGCTCAGGAGCAACCCATGTCAGTTGGGGATCAGTGATCGAATCGACTATCCGGACATCCTCCACATGTTAAGCCGTTTGGTCCTCCTCGACATGTTAGACCATATGAACATCCGCGACATGATCTTCCATCTCACCTGAAAAACAGAGGAATAACGTGAATTCGATGGTTAAATCAAATCCACCTTTCCACCACAAGTCAAGTGAAAGGGCGCACCATAGGACGAGGATACAATCCCCGACAAAGCCCCTGCTCGAGCTCTCGAAAGGAAATCAAAACTACCATTGGGTCAAGGGCGCGATCAAAATCGGTTGGACGAGCAAAGGCAAAGACTTCACGCGTGGAAAAATATTCCCCGACTTATAAATCACACAAGGGATTCATGTTTCCCCGAGGAACACATGAATCTCCCGGGGAGAAAGCATGAATATTTCTGGGGAAATCATGAATCTTCCGGGGAACACGTGAATCTCCCGAAGAGAAACATGAATATCGCAGGCGAAAACACGAATCTCCCGGGGAACGCATGAATCCTGTAGGAAAAAACAATAAAATCTATGAATGTCGCGGGGAGAACCTACCCAGAATGCGAAATTCGTATAAGAACATGCATGATTCAAAGTTTAAATGGATCCTGGATAAAGGGAAGTCACTCACTTGGCTGAGGGTTCATTCTGGAGAGTGTGGTGGCGATTACAGCGGCGACGACAGCTAGATGTGGATCGGAGAAAGAGAAGCGAGAGGGAGAGCAAGGATTGTGATAGCAACAAATAAATCCTTAAACCCCTATTTATAACCCTGCACAGAAAATGAAACGTCGCCTCGACACACAGCTGCCCACGCGCCTAGGTCATAATGACCCCTACACCTAAACCATCATTACGCATTAAATGTTGTGACACATGGCCCAGCTAGCGAACACCGACCAAGACTTTTTTATTCCCAGATGACGGGCGAGAAAAACTTCCTCTTTCGCGAGCATATCGCTACTCCCGGCCATGGCATCCACCTATCATTTCCCCTCTACGAGAAAGATTGTTAATCTAGACGATCATTTCTCCCCTGCGAGAAAGATTGTTAATCTGGACAAATACGTTCCCTTCCTCTATATATGTTGGACTGAAAGTCGATGCCCGAGTAATCACTCCCCGTGCGCGGGTCAACGATGAGATAACTCAAGGGAAGTCACAGAGATCCTTGGCATCGTTGTCTCCTCGACACTCGAGTTGACCTAGTCATAACTCCTCTGCTTAGGAGCAATAACTTGGGAGCTCTTTTTCTGGATTGTGCTAACACTTAATCTACTGTCGGGCTAGGCCTAGGCAAGTGCTACTAGAGGCTCAATAACCTGCTGGGAGTCAGGCCTGCACTTGATCCCCAGTCGGGCAAGCCCACATTGCTATAACCGTTGAGAAACATCCCCTGCACGTTCCCGTTGAAGACCTGCTCCACAGCCCGTGCACGTCGGGAACGTCTCTGCAGTATACATGTTGAGGACCTGCTCCTCAGCGCGTGCACGTCGAGAATCTCTCCTAAATATGCTCGTTTGGGACCTGCCCCTCAGCACGTGCATGCCTGCCACAGTACATAACCAACGTTCCTCCGACTATCACGAAGTCATCCTGCTCCCGAAAAGAACAGATCTTCATCCCCTGAGAATCACAGAGCAGTTGAACCAGAATAGAGACCATGAACTGGTCTCCTCTACCCACGCAGGATCCCAACAGGCTCTATTTTGGGCATGGGCATCCAACTCAAATAGGAATCTTAACTCAACATTAGAGGCTCTAAATACCCTCTTTCATTAGAAGGTCAAGTAAATTATTCATTCACTCTCTCATTCTCTACTTACATTTGCTCTGAACCTTATTTTGACATCGAAGTATCTTACAAGTATCCACCACTTCACTTTCAACCGTCGTTCAGTTCAAACTTGAGTCATCAACGATTCATTCTAATCAAATACAATCACATGTTGTAATCAATTTAATAATGATTTTTTAATAAGACATCAATATGTATAGCGAGATTGTTCCGTGATACACATGTGCTCTCTACTTTGGAAATCAAAGTTTAACATCTTTATGAAAGATATTCAAGATTTACTCTACCGATTATTCTTCAACTACATCCCATTGAAACTGGTAGAAGATTATTTTCACATTGACAAAATTTTAGTCAAGTACAATTATTTTATTAGATTTTATGTAAAGTATAAAATCAAATTTATTACATCATTTTTTTTAAAACTGGTAAAAAAATCTCATTCAATTATCCATATTAAACATTTTTAATTAACTGCAAATATATTAAAAATAATAACATTAAATAGTTAAAAAAGTATACTTTTTCCTAGTAATCAAATCCATATTAAACTTTTTTTTTGATTAATTGCAAATATTTAAAAATAATAATATTAAATAGTCAAAAAAATGTTAACTTTTTCCTAGTAATCAAAATTTGAATTATGTATTATACATATACATATATAATATTAACCGGGGAGAGTATATTATTCCAGTTAAAGACTCTCAACTCACACTACTAGTGAGTTTTACCTCCACTCCCCGGAAATGCCCCTATGAAAAACTGCCCTAATATATAACTTCAATGTGAAAAATATACACATTAATTACAAAAGAAAAATTAGAATACAAGCAATATACATGGTTCATAATACATTTTCTTTGTTTCTGCATAGAAATTCGTAATTTCACATATAGCAAGTTTTCTTTTTCATTTTCTTGGTTCATATATCTAACCACTAACCACAACTAAGCTTTTGATTTTGAATTCATAAATCACATATTCCCATTCCACTAAAGTGACAACTGACTGATATAATAAACTGTGAACTAAGAAATTTAACTTATACTTTCTTTTTTTATGTCGTTTTACAAATTAAGCAATGAAAAAATTTCGAATCACCTACGATTACAGATTCACAGAATGTACCTCTTGAAGCGTGACCATTAGGACACTATCAAAGAGCTAACATATATAATGAGCCATAAATACACTACAATCCACATCAGTAACAAAAACATAATACATATTGAGAATCAATGGACCTGGAAAGGAAGCAAAATCACTATCTGGAATCTGGAAAGTATTCAGCAACACTTTTAACATGTTTTGCAACTTTTCCTACAGTAACCAGGAAGGCCGGTAGATCCAACCATATATTCAGGATTCTTAGTGCATTCTCCAAGGGCAGCCCATCTTTCACAACTCTCATGCTGATCAGTGCAGTCCCCTCCAGCTCCCACCACCTTATCAAATGAGTCCACATGAATCCACTTTGTTGCCGAATATTTCTCTCCTTCGATTACAGGGCATCCTGCATGAAGACTGAGAGTATCTGGGATAGCATTTGGGTGGAGACTAAAGAATAGAAGTGCGTCTCCTCTTCGGGGTCTCACTGTGTATTGTCCCGGGGAGGAAAGAAAGAAAAAGACAATTATTGAACATAATTTGACTGGGAGCAAATGTGGAGTTACAGAATAATGCAGAAGAAAAACCATAAAGTAACTAAATGTCCAGTTGCCCCACCTGCGACTCCTTTTTTGCCACACTCAGAGAGATCTTCACTTGTTTCAGACAATTTATGATGAGGAGATTCTTGTAACTAGTATTATAAAAATATCATAGTTAGTTACAAGAAGGGAAAAGAAAGGCAGAAACAATTTTCCTTGTCAAGAAACTTCCAACTATTTAGTATGGAAATATTGAAGAAAATATTGCATCTCCTCAATCTATATCCCTCATGAATTATCAGTGTTCTTAGTGTCGGTTATTTGCAAGTACAATCAAAAGTATTTGAGCATTTGAAAAACTGGTCCCAATCAAATACAAACATTTCAACTTCTCCAAATTTGTAGCTGTAGTTACTATCAGAATGATTATGAGCAACTACAAAAAGATGAGATGCTCCGACATGAAGTCATAAACACTATCCCTAGACAGTCAGACAAGACAGTTTGGCTCACTCAAAAGTAGAATCATTGTTAAGGACAGATTCAGTTTGCACGGAAAATTGCAGCAAACAAGGATCCATTATAAAATACTCAAGGCCATTTAAGGATATGCCAAACACAGTACGTAATTAATTGGAAAATCATAAAGGCAATGATTTATTGATATAAATCATAGAGGAACTTTTCATTTCGGTTATAACAGAATTCTGTTATGTAAAAGTTAGTTACAAATGGTGACACACAGTTTTACCTACACCTTAGACTTGACATATGTCAGTCATTACAAAGGTTTGAGTAGGATGTGAAGGGGATGGTGATTGAGTCTCAGTTTCAGCAGCAGATTGAGGGACACCACCAGACTGACTTTGAGAGGGAGAGGAGTGAGATGAGGTGTCAGAACTAGGTGAGGAGAAGGGAACTGCTGTGAGAGGAACAGGTTTAGGAAGAGAAATGTTAGAAAATAGAGTGGATAGAGGTGAGGATGAGTGTTGTTTGACAGAGTTGTTGATGTGAGAAAGATAAGAGGCAGAGGGAGAAAACAACTCAAGGTAAGAAAATCTTGACTCATTGAATAGAACATCTTTAGAGATGTATAATTTTCCACTGGGAGAGAGACACTTGTAGCCCTTGTGGGAATTAGAATAACCCAAAAATAGACACTCCTGTGATCTGAACTCAAGTCTGTGGGCAAGATAAGGTCTCAGGAGAGGGAAGCAGGCACAACCAAACACTTTCAAAAACTTGTAATCAGGCATAATGTGAAACAGAAAAGTACAGGGAACCTGAAACTGGATGGCTGAAGATGGGAGTCTGTTGATGAGAAACACAGCTGTTGTGAAGGCATAATCCCAGAAGTTGAGAGGTAATGAGGCTTGGCTCAAAAGGGTTAAGCCGAGATCAACAATATGCCTATGCTTCCTTTCCACCACTCCATTTTGGTGATGAGTGTGAGGGCATATAACCCTGTGAACTATCCCTAAGTCAGCCAGAAATTTGCTATATGGGCGAAATTCCCCACCCCAATCTGACTGAACAGCTTTGATGGGGAAGCCAAGCTGCAATTCAACAAGGGACTTAAATTGCTTGAACACACTAAGAGCTTCAGCTTTGGATTTTAGTAGGTATAGCCAAGTAAACTTGGAAAAGGCATCAACAAAGGAAATATAGTAAGAGAATCCCTGTGCAGAGGGTTGAGGGGAAGGCCCCCACAGATCACAAAACACAAGCTCCAAAGGGTGATGATAAGTAGTGTGTGAAGTAGGTGAGTGCAGTCGATGGGCTTTACCCATACAACATGCAGAACAAAAAGATTCATAACTTTTATTGCTGAAATTGAGATTACAACTTTCTAGCACCAGTCTTAAGTGTTAACATTGGGGTGGCCTAGCCTTAAGTGCCATACATTGGATAAAGAAGGGGAAAGAATTAACAGAAGGTACAAGTTATTTGAAGAGTCTAAAGACTTAGCGGACTTAGAGATATTGAGCAAGGGAAACTCATAGAGCTCATCAGAACCAACTTTACCAGCCAGCAACACAGCACTAGACACCTGGCATTTGACAAAACAGGAATCAACTGTGAAAAGGAAATAAACTTGATTGTCACGACAAAACTGACTCCCACTTATGAGATTCTTAGTAATAGAAGGCACATATAATAGATTATTAAGTATTAGAGGTGTGTGAGGGTGATTTTGAGACAAAAACTGACTAGAACCAGAAGAGTTAATGGCTAAACCTTGGTCATTTCCTATGTAAATCTGTTCATGACCTTCAAGGGTGTGGGGTTTTGTTGAAATATCTCTTATTTAGTATTATTTATTTTCTTATTTAAGAGTCATTTTAGTATTATTTATTTTCTTATTTAAGAGTCATTATATTACTTTAAGAGTCATTATATCACTCCTAAAATAAAGGAGTTGACTTTGTATTTTCTCTCCTATAAAAGGAGTCCCTTTTCCTTCATAATAAAATATACAATTATCACCCATATGCTTTTCTACATGGTATCATGAGCTCTGTTAGGGCTAGGGTGATACTGTTAAGCTTTCCCTAACTAGCTCACCCGTTCTTTTATTCGACCCGACCGATCCAAACTATGGTGGACCCTACCCAAACACCACCTCCTCCCGGAGGTCGTGGAGGCGGAGGCGGCGACGCCAACAACAATTCCAACGGCGGCGCCAACGTCAATTTCGGCAGAGGAAGTGGATTTACCATGCCAGAAATGCCCAGTTTCATGACAAACAACAATTTTAACAGTGGATTCGGTTATGGCAGAGGTGATCCCAACAACAACCTTTTTAGGTCTGGTTATGGCTACCAATTTGATGGTGGTTACAGTAACTCAGGAGGTGGAGGTCAAAATAACTCTCTTCAGGTTAATGTTCAGAAACTGGATGGCTCAAACTACGTTGAATGGTCCCAAACTGTTCGACTTATTCTAGAAGGCAAAAGGAAGTTGGATTTTCTTATAGGTGATGTTTCGGTGCTTGCAACAACACATCCTAATTACAGGTTCCGGAAATCTGAAAACTCTTCTATTATTGCTTGGCTTATTAATACTATGGAGGTAGGTATGAGAAAAACATACATGTATCTGCATTCAGCAAAAGATGTTTGGGATGCTGTAAAACTGTCTTACTCTGACATTAAAAGTTTCTCTCAAATTTATGATCTAAAATCAAAGTTATGGAATTTAAAGCAGAATGACATGGATGTGACTATCTACTATAGTGAATTGATGGCCTATGATTATAACTGGAGGTGTACTGAAGACAGTGTTCAGTTTATTAAGACCCAAGAGAACGACTGTGTCTTTATTTTTCTTGCTGGTCTCAACAAGGAACTCGATGAAGTAAGAGGTAGAATTCTTGGAAATAATCTGCTGCCGACTATCTGAGAAACTTTTTCAGAAATCAGAAGGGAAGAGGCTAGACAAAGAGTAATGATGGGAAAGTCAAACTCAACAATTGATGGTTCTGCCCTTGTCACAAACAACTTCAATAAAGACGGCAAGAGATATGGTAAGAAAGATGGTAAACTCTGATGTGATCACTGCGAACGTTATTATCACACACGTGAGACTTGTTGGAAAATTCATGGAAAGCCTCCTAATTGGAAAAAGAAGGGTGAGGGTCGTGCACTTCAAGCAACTTCTGATCAAGAGCCACAGTCTTCCCCAAATACATTTTCATTCACTAAGGAACAGCTAGACCAAATGTACAAACTCCTCGAGTCTCAAACACCTTCGTGCTCCATAGCCCAGAAAGGTAACTTCTCAAAATCAATCCACCTTAGTCTCATTCCTAATCGTACATGGATCGTTGATTCTAGAGCCACCGATCATATGACCGGTGAATCCAGTTTATTTTCTTCATATAAACCATGTGCAGGAAATTCCAAAATTAAAATAGCTGATGAATCTCTTTCAGCCGTGGCAGGAAAATGTTCTATTGTTTTGTCTCCCTTACTAACCATCCAAGATGTGTTACATGTCCCAAATTTGTCTTGCAACTTATTATCTGTCAGTAAGCTAACCAAAAATAAAAACTATCAAGCTCATTTCTTTGATACTCATTGTGTATTTCAGGATTTGATCTCGGAAGGACGACTGGCACTGCTGAGGAAAGTGGTGGACTCTACTACTTGGAAAATGAACCAAAAACCAGACATCAATTGGGACCAATAAGTTTTTCTTCTGTTAAATCTTTTTTTGTTTCAAATAATAAGGATGACATTATGTTGTGGCATTTAAGGTTAGGCCACCCTAGTTTTAAATATTTAAGTTCATTGTTTCCTAAACTTTTTGTTGAACAAGACATTTCTTCACTTCAATGTGAGGTTTGTGAATTTGCTAAACATCATCAAAGTTCTTTTCCAATTCAATCTTATAAACCTTCAAAACCTTTTTCAATGATTCATAATGATGTTTAGGGGCCAAATCGAACAAGTATTTTATCCAACAAAAAATGGTTTATCCTTTCCCAGATGATCATACTGGACTTTGTTGGGTATACTTGTTGAAACAAAAATCTGAGGTAGGTCAAATAATTCAAAACTTTTGTAAATTGGTGCATACACAGTTTAACACCCAAATACAAGTGTTTAGAACTGACAATGGTACTGAATTTTTTAATAAAATTGTTGGAATTTTTTTTCTTGAAAATGGAATTGTGCATCAAAGTTCATGTGTTAACTCACCCTAGCAAAATGGGATTGCAAGAGAGGAAAAACCGGCACCTTCTTGAAGTTGCACGAGCACTACTCTTCTCTACCAATGTTTCTAAATATTTAAGGGGTGAAACTGTCTTGACAGTTGCACATTTAATAAACCATATGTCATCCCGTGTTTTGAAATTTGAAACTCCTTTGCAAAGTTTCTTGAAATATTTTCCAATTGCTTCAGTTCTATTTGATTTACCACTTAAAATATTTGGATGCACTGCTTTTGTTCACGAACACAGGCATCTTGGTAAATGATCGGTCACCGTTCTTTCTTGTTTTCTATCTATTATCCGGCATGAAACCGCATCATTGGTAACACCTTGCTTAGTTTTTTTACTGTTTTCGTCACGTATTTTAATTTTCACATTTTGTTTGTTTGCATTAGTTTAGTTTGAATTTTGGATAAATAAGATACTTTTGAAGTCTTGGTCTGGTAGTTTTTGTATTTTCAGATCCTGGTGAAATTGCACAAGAATAGAGGCGAAGTTGACAAGTTCCGAAGCGTTTTCTCCAGAAGTCCAGTGGCTGACACGGGTGCCCGTGTCACCTGACACGGCCCGTGTCAGAAATGCTGATACTTAATTAGAGAAAAGAGGATTCCAGTGGCTGACACGGGTGCCCGTGTCACCTGACACGGCCCGTGTCAGAAAGTCTGATAGGCGAGCTTTTGTTGAAGGATTCCAGTGGCCAACACGGGTGCCCGTGTCACCTGACACAGTCCATGTTGGCAGGCGCGAAACAGAAAAGTGAATTGTTGAAATCGATTTGTTTGAGTTCATTGAGGGTATTTTGGACTTTCTGCATAGCTGTGGGGTAATCTGACACTACTTAGACCTAGTTTTTGAGAGAATTAAAGATAGACTTTTTGCATCAGAAAAAGAAGAAATTAGAGAAGAGGAGAAGAGCGATCAGGGATTTGGGAAACGAAGATCATCAAGAGTGGAAGCAATTGAAGATCGGAGCAATTTCATTCTCTTGTAATGTTTAACTTTGAATTTGTATTTTCTTTGAATATTATGAGAAGTTAAACCCCCCAATGCTAGGGGGGTGTCCCTGAATTGCTTTTGTGATGAACCAAATTTCTATACTTTTATAAAATCTATGTTTTTATGTGTTCAATGTATTATACAATTTCTTATTGCTTGTCCTATTGGAAAATAGGGTATTGATCTATGGGTAAAGTAGGTTGGACAGATCACTTTATCGCTAATTGTATAATAACATCACTAATCTCTCTTAGGAATAAGGATCTAATAGTGATGACCGTAAATTCTTGATATTTATATATGTGCTTGACATAATTTTGAATAACTAAGGAATTAGGATTTAAAATTATATGTTAATGGTTTCTTGCTAAGGAATTAGGGAAAATAACTCTTGAGAATCGGTATTGGATCACATTATCATTGAAATAGAGGTTCAGTTTATTACGGAGCAATTCATACATCTTATTCCTAGCATGCTTCATCATATTGTGTAAACACTCTTTACTTTTTGTTTTAAGATTCACAGTGCAAATTATTATTACCTATCTTCCAACCACACCAATGTTCTTTTGTTTAATTGAATCATTATAAACACTGATAGTTCTAACGCAGTCCTCGAGATCGATACACGGGATAACTTCCTTTTATTACTACATTGGTAAAAATAGTACACTTGCTATTTTATCGATCAGTAAACTTGAATCTCGTGCAATCAAATGTGTTTTTATTGGGTATTCATCTTCTCAAAAAGGTTATAAATGTTTTGATCCTAAACCAATGAAAATATTTGTAACAATGGATGTTACTTTTTTTGAAAACAAACCTTTTTTGGTAATGATCATCTTCAGAGGAAAACAAATGAAGATTCTCCTGAATTGTTGAACACTTAATTATCTCAGATGTGTATATATCACATAATTCTGTTTCATGTACATCTGCACCTAATAAAAAGGCCTTGAAAAAATTAGATGAACCTACTCCTTCCATGAGTAAGGATCAATCAGAATCCGAGGCAACAAATCAAAACAAAGATCAAACAAATGTTTTTTCTGAAATTAATCAAAATGCACCAGATAAAGATCCTTATAATGAAATAAATAAAAAAATTTAAGGAAGGAAATCCAATTTGGAAAGGCAAAATTTATGTTAGAAGAAACAATGATCAAGTAGTAGAAGATCCTTTTCCTCAGCTCAGCCAAGAATCTGAACCGAGTGAAAGTCAACTGACTCAGACAGGTAAATCTCTCCTTGATCCTAATTCTCTATATACCGACCTTGATGTCCCTATATAACTTAGGAAACAATATATTAATCTTAATGTTCCCATAGCCTTTAGGAAGCCAGATAGGTCATGTACTAAGCACCCCTTGTCTAACTTTGTATCATATTCAAACTTGTCTCCCTCTTTTGCTGCATTTACTTATAATCTATCTAGTGTCAAAATTCCTAAGAATGTACAGGAGGCTCTAGAAATTCCAAGGTGGAAGGAAGTTGTTTTTGAGGAGATGAAAGCTCTTGAAAAGAATAAAACTTGGAGTGCCACAACTCTGCCAGCAGATAAAAGAACTATGGGATGCAAGTGGATGTTCACAATAAAGTACAATTCTGATGGATCAATCGGAAGGTACAAAGCTCGATTGGTTGCAAAAGGATTCACTGAGACTTATGGCATAGATTACTCAGAGACCTTTGCTCTTGTTGCAAAGCTTAACACAACCAGAATACTCTTATCCCTTGTTGCTAACTTAGACTGGCCTCTCTATCAGCTAGATGTCAAAAATGTCTTTCTCAATGGTGATTAAGAAGAAGAAGTATATATGGATTGTCTTCCAGGTTTTGAAGAAACCTTTGGGCCACAGGTGTGTAAACTAAAGAAGTCCTTGTATGGGTTGAAACAATCTCCGAGAGCTTGGTTTGAAAAGTTTACTTAGTCTGTGAAGAAACAGGAATATACTTAAGGACAAGCAGATCATACTTTATTCAAAGTCAGGTCAAAATGGAATGATAACTATTTTGATAGTGTTGGAAGTTATTAGAGAGATAAGTACAGGTTCTGTTGATTCATGTAATATACAGCTCAGCATTCATTGTAAATAATATATGAATAATTAGCTATTAGTAATTAGTAATTAGTTGTCTTCTACCATATTTAGAATTAGCATTTAAAGGGAGAATTATTGCTCTGATTCTCAGGCCAGATTTTAGGGTTATTGATTTGCCCCTTGTATTCTATATATACCTTTCATGTATTACTTATCGAAATATAAAAGAAATACAGATTGTCTGTTTCTTTATGGTATCAGTTGCTGGAAGAATTCCTTAGTTTTTTTTTCTTCTATTGCTTCCGTTTTTTTTTCCATCCCACGTAATGTCTGATCACTTGTCTGATACCGAGTCCCAGCATTCACCCAAACATTCTTCACCTAAAACTGAAATACCTCAATCTGTCAGGACATACCATGAAAATCACCCTGTTCAGATCACAACAATTCGACTGAACGGTCCTAATTATTTTCGGTGGTCGCAGTCTGTCCGTTTGTATCTCAGGGGGAGAGGAAAAATTGGCTACATCACTGGAGACAAGAAACAACCAGACAAGGAAGGTGCAGACTACGATAGTTGGGATGCTGAAAATTCCATGGTCATGACATGGCTAGTCAATTCCATGACTGAAGAGATAGGTGCAAACTATCTTTGTTATGCTACTGCAAAAGATCTTTGGGAAAGTGTCTCTCTGATGTATTCCGATTTGGACAACCAATCCCAAATTTATGAATTAACTCTCCAGCTTGGAGAAATTCGTCAAGCTGAAGATTCTGTTACCAAATACTTCAATTGTCTCAAGCGTATTTGGCACGATTTGGATCTGTTCAATGTATATGAGTGGAAGTCACCCGAGGACTGCAAACACTACAAGAAGATGGCGGATATTCGTCGTGTCTTCAAGTTTCTTGCAGGTCTAAATATTGAGTTTGACGAGGTTCGTGGCCGAATTCTTGGCAGGAACCCTATCCCTCCAATTGGTGAAGTATTTGCTGAAGTGCGTCGCGAAGAGAGTCGCAGGCAGGTGATGCTTGGAAAAAAGGCTGCCATTGTCCCTCCACCAGTCGAAGGATCTGCATTGGCTGTTCCTCAAGTCAATCGCAAACCTTTCCCTAATCCACGAGGTGGTGACAAGAATCATTTAGTTTGCGACTACTGTGGTCAAAATCGTCACACTCGGCAAAACTGTTTCAAACTACATGGTAGGCCAAATAATAGAAAGGCTGGAAGGTTTGGTGACCGTCCTACGTCTACAACCAATGAGGCTGACTCGTCTCCATTTACTAAGGAGCAAATGGATCACCTTTTTAAACTTCTAAAGTTCAATTCATCACCTAATGTTCCTGTTGGAACTGTGGCACAAACAGGTAAGAATTCTTGGGCATTATCTGTCCAAAACCACTCCAACCCTTGGATAATAGATTCAGGGGCATCTGAACATATGACCAATTGCTCTTATTTATTTAGTTCCTATTTCCCTTGTTCCGGGTCTGAAAAAGTAAGGATTGCTGATGGTAGTTATTCTAGTATTGCAGGCAAAGGCAGCATAAAATTTCAGAGCAAATTACTTTGCAATCTGTTTTACACGTTCCTAAATTTGCTTGCAATCTTCTATCTGTTCATAAATTGTCTAAGGACACTAATTGTTATGTGATTTTTCGTTCTTCCACTTGTGTTTTTCAGGACCAGAACTCGGGGAAGACGATTGGAACTGCTAGAGAGATGAATGGATTGTACTACTTTGATGAAACTCCTCTAGGAAATGCAATGTTTTTTGGTTTAAACAGTGCAAGTTTACCTCCCGTTTCAGATCAAGTTATGTTATGGCATAAGAGATTAGGTCATCCTAGTTTCCCTTATCTTAAGTATTTATTTCCAAAATTTGCCAAAGAAATAAATTCCTCGTGAAGCTTGTCATTTAGCTAAAGATCATCGTGTATCTTTTACTTCAAAAATTTATTCTGCTTCGCAACCTTTTTATTTAATCCATAGTGATGTTTGGGGTCCTTCAAAAATTAAAACTATGTCTGGAAAAAAATGGTTTGTGACATTTATTGATGACCATACACGTGTGTGTTGGGTTTATCTCTTAGAAAAAAAATCTGAAGTGGAACAAAGGTTTAAAGATTTTTTTCAAATGATTGAAAACCAATTTCAAACTAAGATTGGCATTCTAAGGTCTGACAATGGCACTGAATATTTCAACAAATATCTAAGTACATTCCT